TTCATATCTAAATTTTTACAACATGTTTTACCAAAACAATCAAATAAAGGAATATCTTAAATAAGCCCCAATATTCAAGTATTATTAATATATTTTTTTATAATTCATATCTAAATTTTTAGAATATATTTTACCAAAACAATCAAATAAAGGAATATCACTTCTTGAAGTTTGTAATACCTTTCAAAGCGAAAAAGGAGAAATAAAATTGATTTTACTTAATATAAAGCATTTTTTAATTGAAAAATTTGTTTTACATAAGTATCATTTTATTTCTCTTTTTCTCTGTCCCAAATTCAAGCAATTACATATGTAGTCAGGACAGATCGCAAGATGACGGAAAACTATATAAAAGATTATATTAAATTACAAGAGGCTCAGGAATTAAATGAAATACCATCGACCAGTATTACGACTGTTGTTAAACAAACTGAATCGTTTTATGACAAATGGGGCGATGGTAATTCTGTTAATATGTCAATACCCGATGATGAATATTATAATTAGATAAATAAAAAAATAGATGAAACATTTAAGGTGGATAATTTGTTAGAGTGTTGGGCGGCTCATCAATTCCTGCTTCAAGTGCAAGCTGTGAGCGGAATTTTTCCACTACGAGAATTCTTGAAGAAAGAAGAAGTAATCTTCAACCTGAAAAGGTAGATATGCTTCTCTTTCTTCAAGATAATTTGTGAATTTTTAATATCTTTCTTGAGTATAGGGTTTCGTCAATCATGCTGGTTTTTTACTTTGCAAACTGTCAAATATTTATAGCATTTATTATATTTACCTTGAGTCATGAAAGTTTTTAATCCAACATTTTTCATTATTTTTTTTTACAATATTATATAATACAATTATCTTCTTTTGTTAAAAATTTATATTATAAAATAAATTATATTAATATTGTGCAATTAGATTATATTTTCAAAATACTATTTATTATACATGCATTTTTTTAAATAGCGATTTATTTTTATTTTATAAATTAAATAGTAAATTAAATACAATATATTATATTCTCAAAATATTTTACATTTTTATAAATTAAATATTAGTTTTATTTTTATAAATGCAATATAAAATATAGTATATGCTCAAAATATTCATTTTTATAAATAACAGTTTTATAATTTTTATAAATTCAATATAATATTCTCAAAATATTAGCTTTTTACATGTATTTTTTTAATAATAAGCGATAATACTCGCTGAAAAATATCGTAAAATACCTCATAGGTGAATTTTTGTATATACCAGGTCGAATATAATTTTAAAAAATTCCGAGCCGGGCCTGAAGTTTTTTTTTAAAAAATATCCGGGCCGGGCCTTAAATTTTTAAATCCGGGATGGGCCGGGCCGTAAAAATTTTTTTTTAAAAATATCCGGGATGGGCCTTAAATTTTTAAATCCGGGATGGGCCGGGCCGTAAAAATTTTTTTTAAAAAATATCCGGGCCGGGCCTTAAATTTTTAAATCCGGGATGGGCCGGGCCGTAAAAATTTTTTTTTAAAAATATCCGGGATGGGCCTTAAATTTTTAAATCCGGGATGGGCCGGGCCGTAAAAATTTTTTTTAAAAAATATCCGGGCCGGGCCTTAAATTTTTAAATCCGGGATGGGCCGGGCCGTAAAAATTTTTTTTAAAAATATCCGGGCCGGGCTTTAAATTTTTAAATCCGGGATGGGCCGGGCCGTAAAAATTTTTTTTAAAAAATATCCGGGCCGGGCCTTATATTTTTAAATCCGGGCTGTAAAAAATTTTTTTAAAAAATATCCGGGCTAAAAAATTTAAAACCGGGCCGAGCCGTGCAAATAGTACATCTGCAGGTCTCTGGTGGGAGTAATATAAAAATTGTGAGAGAAATATGAAAATTGCTAAAAAAAAAATATTTTCCAAAATAAAATAGGTAATTATTTTTCAAAATAAAATAGCCAACTATTTTTCAAAATAAAATAGCCAACTATTTTTCAAAATAAAATAGCCAACTATTCTTCAAAATAAAATAGCCAACTATTTTTCAAAATAAAATATCCAACTCTTTTTCAAAATAAATAGGTAACTATTTTCCAAAATAAAATACGCAACTATTTTTCAAAATAGGTAATTATAGTACGACACAAAATTTCTTAAATACTATCTTTATTATTAAAATAACATATTGATTTATTATAATATATTAATTTTGTTTAAAAATAATAACCAACGATCTTTTTTAAATACAAAAGAATGTAAACAAGATAAAATTTTATTAAAAAATTGTAATTTTACAATGTAAAAAAATATATTTTATGCTAATGTATAAATAAGATTTTATAAAAAAACAAACAATTTTAAATTTACAATGTAAAAAATAATTATAATCAGTGCCGGGAAGTTGTTCTACAGTATTTAGTTAATACAATGGGGGAAGGGAATATGATATTTTGAGGCATCAAAAATCTTCAAAGCATAAATTAGTACAGGGCAGTCTATCAACATCTATTGCAAAACAAAAATATTCTTCAAAAATAAGAAATTATACAGATGCAACTACAGTTGCGGAAATGGTAAATACCTATCATGCAGTACAACATTCAGAGAGCTACTTAACATCACAATGTTGGTAGAATCTTTCCCCATAATATTTAAGGACTAATATAAATGAAAAGTATACTTTGTAGAACACAAATGAGCAAGACTATCATCAATGTTTTAGGTTATAAATCCAGAAGGTCAATTCTTGACGATTTGAAAGATGTGCAAACATATGCAATTCTGCATCTAATAAGGAGATATCAAAACATTTCCCTTGATCCTCCCCTATTTCAACAAAATTAATGTCATTTCAATAAAACTATTAAAAAAATTTTCTCCAGATATGAAATATCCAAAGACATAGCTAACCTTATAAATATGGCAGATTTGGCATTACCAATGAATTGCATAGCAGCTTTCTGATCTGATAATTCCTCAGTGAATTTGGCAAAAACCAGAGTGTATTTACAGAATTGAGTCAGCATAATATTGGTTGACAGGTTCCTCCTAATACACGCCATCGTAGAATTTTAAAATTTTACAAACCTTTAAAAAATAAATAGATTATAAAAGCTGTCCTAATATTTTGAAAAAAATTTTCAAAAATAAATGGCAGAAGTATATTTAGGAATTTTACATATAGGAAATCTACTATATGCTGTTAATATGCAGTTGCAATCAGAAGAATATAATTTAATAAAGGTTCACTAAATTATGCTGCAGAAATACCAAAGTAAGAATATTATTACTATTATCGGATAATTATTAATAAGATTTAATATGATGTCATGTTTGAGGAGATTGTAATGCTTCTTTATTTTTATGATTTGCCAAAATATTCAAAATATTAATTTTACAATGTAAAAAATAAATTTATTTGATTTTATGCAAATGTATAAATAAGATTTATAAAATATAGAAAGTCAAATAGTTATAGTTAATTATATTTTATTTGAGATTTAAATAATGGAACTAAACGTTTACCGTCGTTATTAAGATATTTATAAAATTCCTGGCACGACATTTTATAATTTTGTTTAACCATTGCCTCTAATGTTGTTAAAGCAATTCGATTTCTCTTCTTTCTCCAGGCAGTCCTCATCAGGCTAAAAATGCGCTCCGATGAGGCATTAGAATGAGGTAAGGAGAAAACATACTCGCAAATTTTTTCCAAGCATGGGGATTTATCGTTATTACGAAAAAATTCTACCCATTTCTCCTCTGCTTTTATACCATCTAACTTTAAGTATTCTGGCAAATCATAAAAAATGGAAAAATTACAATCTCTTCAAACAAGGCTTCAATGTCTATCGGTAATTTTAATATATTTATTAAATTACAAAAACCATCAAATGATGGTTTCTGTTCCAAGGTCATAATATTTATACACTTGTAAATAGAGTTATTAAAATCAAATCTTGATTGTAAATATTCCAAAATTGTCTTAATAAAAATATTTGCTTCATCTAAAAATACGTTAATTATATTTATTATCTATTTTTAACTGTAGAGATGAACAGAGCTGTAGCATGATTTTGTGAATCTTTATCATTAAAGAATCTTCTGATTGCAACTGAATATTAACTACATGAAGTATATTTCCTACATGTGAAACTAATCCCAAATATGCTTCTGACATTTCATCCTCGAAATTTTTTTTTAGCAAAATAGAACATTTTATTACTTAAATCTGTTTGGTATGTGGGATATAATATCCACTTCTAAAAGTTCTATTCTTCTAACACAAAAATTTTGAAAATGGCGAGTGGAGCACTGCAATTCTAGATAACGATATAAAATATATTAAGCAATTTACAATATATTTATAATAATTATACATACTGTTCTAACTTCTATTCTTTCTAACACAAAAATTTTGAAAATATCGAGTGGGAGAATTTTATAAAAAATATATTTTAGAGCGGAAAAATAAAATAAAAGAACTAGACATATTTTTCGAATAAATATTTAAAATTTATTTTAAAAATATAAAAATAATCAAATACTGTCTCTCAAAATTATTATTTATATATTAAAAACATTAAAATGCTAAAAAAAAATTGTGGGAGAAATTAAAAAATTGTGGGAGCTTTTTGTGGGTGATTTCTAATTGTGGGAGTTTTGTGGGAGTGAGATGTATGTGGGTAAACTAAAAAATTGTGGGAGACTCCCACTGATGGGGGGAGACATGGCAACCCTGCTCCTCACCCTTTTTTAGATTTGAAAAAAAAATTAGTTTTGCCTTTGTTTTTACGTTTTTTTACATTCCTATAATATAATTATAATTTTAAATGAAAAAGAACTTCTTAAATAATTTTACTGTAATTCAACTTTTACATTCTATTATTCATAATAATTTAGTATAGGGACGTCGAGGCTTCAGACAAGGAGTAATTCCGAACAGCCTTCACATTTTAAAACTATGATTTTAAGACTTAAATTGAAATTCATAACTAAAATACAACATTATTTTAATATTGCAGAAACTTAAAAGTGGAGGTATATCAAAATATTTTGGTACTCATGCGAATGAACTAATCACCATTTTATCTAAATGGAATTTCAATCAATTGAGGATGTTTTTCGATCAATATCAGAGGGTAACCAAAAAGACAATAGAAGAAGATATAAGCAAATATAGCGGTGGTGAAACCCAAAAGGCTTTATTGAATTATGGTAACGATTGGTATCAATTATTTGTTTAAATTGTTTATTTTAACGTAAAATTTTAATTTTTAATCGGCGCTCGCAGGACAGGGCAAGGAATGGCTCTAGGAAATTATTATATATAAAGTGTGTAATATTTATATTATAATTTTAACAATTTTTATATATTTGTATGTTTTAATCTTCTTAAATGTTTATAAAGATATTTAAATTTTATTTTATTCTATTCTTTATTTTAATATCCTTGAAATTTTAGTGAATCCTCCATGCTTTTTTGTGTATAAATCTTAGATATTTTTCGTTTCACATTTAATGTAATATTTTATTTTATTAACACAATTTTGTTTATTTTGGGATGATGATGGGATTTATATTTAAAGATTTGGGGGCCTCAGAAAGTTTTCTATTGAATTTACAAAATATTAATTTTAACCTCTAATATTTTCTTTTTATTTAGAATGATGATTTGCAATATCAATAAAAATTATTTGTTTTCAATTAAATTTTTTTAATATTTTTGATTACCTCTAATGCTATAAATAACCTTGTTATCTCTGGAAGGTAACGAGTAGTATAACAAAGTTACTTTTTTTAAGATAACGTAACTTAGATTTTCAGCGCATTAGTGTATTATTGACCCTTTCGCGCCCATGGATAACTTTTGGAATTATAATTTTTCAATTGTATATTATATGCATTAAAAATGGCCTCTGATAACTTCTTAAATCATATTTTTAATTTTTGATATTTTCTATTTCGTATTTTATAATTAACTCACTTTGTTTCATATGTTATTATATTATATTATAATTATAAAAAATCAATGTTTTCATACCATTTTCGAGCCAAAATTTTAATTCACATTCCTGGTTATCAAACTTGCTAAAAATATAAGTAACCATATTAATATATTTATTTAAAAATTATCATCTTAGGTGCTGGATTGAGCATAATGCCATTTGGTATCAATGGTCATTTCCCATGCACTAAAAAATATTTTCATCAATAAATGGAAATTTTAGACAAATTATTTAGGATATTTAGATTTAGGGTTGAGGAAACGGGGAGGGGGTAATTAGATTAGATTATATTTTGATAATAGTTGCATATATTGATTATATAATGTTTATTTGGATATAAAGAGAGATTCTAATTAGGTATTTTGTATAAATAACATATGATATGAGTTGCCTTTTATATCAATATGCATTTAGATATGACTACATTTATCCCCGTGGGCGATATATCTGAGGCTAATATAGAGAGCTCAGACTTAGAAGAAATTATTATCCTTTTCTAGCAGATGATTTGCCGACATCATCTTATATTACAAAGGAACTAGGTTTTATTGGAAGATATAATCTAAGATACTTCTATAACTAAAATAAAATATATTGATTGGTCCAAAAAAGACATCGGAAGCATGAATACAAAGTTTATTTCTATGTTGGAAATTCCTAAACAGAATTCAACTCTTTTTACCTAATTTCGTAATTTTTGTACACCCAGATAATTAGCAATTTTATATTGGAAACAAACCTTCTAATGTTATGTTGTGATAGATCATAAAAACAGATAGCGATGATATTGAAAATTTATTAGAGTACACTTTATACTATTTTAGTTAAGATGCCTTCTATACAACAGTATTGGTCGGTTGAAACATCTCTTCCACAAGTAGCGGAAACTATGTCCAGCAATCGTTTACTTTTGATTCGGAAATTTTTTAATAATAATAAGAAAGATATGGTATAGGGAAGATAAAGGGTACAACATATTATTTAAAATTTAACCCTTCGTATGCCAATTAAAAAAATAATTCAACTTAAAGTAAAGCTAGCTGTAGACGAATTTATAATTCCCCTCAAGAGACGCTCTAAATTAGGACAATTTAAATCGAATCCCCATAAATGTGGGTTAAAAGTGTTTGCTCTCTATGGCTCTTCCGGGTTTATGTTTATGTATGGTTTTGAAATATACCAGGGGAAGTATATAATGTCATAAGATCATGTTTAGGTATTAGTGGGGATATCGATCTTCATAATGAGGGAATGGATAGAGTAGATATTACAGTTATATCGGACAGATATTAAATGGAAACGATATTATATGAGAATGGTTTTTTATTTATTGGATTTCTTGTGTAATAAATATCTGTCTCCTTTATAGACGCCATATGAAAGCATTAAATAATATAAATTATGACATTGCTGATATCTAAATCTCAGATAGCAAAAGGGTTGATGCTAGCGGAAAAAGATAATACTAAGAAGACCGGAAGACCTTTCAGCATAATTATAAAAAGAAGAAAAGGTATCAATATTGCACACATATCGAATATAAGATATGACCAAGTAGGTCATTGTTCAATGCGCGTAACCATTAAGCAAAGGTGCAAGTATTGCGTAGAAGCCTATTTAAAAATTATTTGCAAAAAATGTAATTTTATTTATGCTTAAATAAACAGCGAAATTGTTATGTCATTTCATGTGAAATTAAATTTTTTTAAAATGAACTTGCATTTTGCCCCTTGATGACAATTGGAATCATTGAATATCTTTTGATAGAAGGTAATTTGTGTCTATAATATATACCCCTTAAAAAAAATTCATGGAGGGACAAAAGTCGGACGCGAAAGGATTAATTTAACAATTGGTATTATATAATATCAATTAAAAATGACATGTAAACTATTTATAAAAAATAGTTCTTTCTCTGGTGACGCCCATGAATCGTTAAAAAATTGTAAGGTAAAATTTCAAAACTGATTTTTTTCTTTGATCAAAAGGATCCTCGAGATTGTTGTTTTAGGACTCTTTTGGCTAATTCATTTGATTAGGGATTTCGCCTATTTCCCACATGAACAGTTTATTGATACTCCGATGGGTATAAATATATTGTTGTTGGCTAGGCGTGAATATTTTTGAGATTTCTCTTTTTACCGCTATACCGAATAGATCATAGTTAATAGATAAGGCGAAAATAAATATATATATACATATAAAGTCCTAATACAGATGTGTGTTTGAGATGTAAAGGAACATCGGATTGGAATAATGAATTTTGGATTATTTTATAAATTTATTTTAACAAGACAATGGATTGGAAATTGGATGTCTAGCTTTAGAATCAACTAAACCATTATCCCATATCTTTTACAGTTGTAAGGTAAATATATGTTTAAGCTTAACCTGATAGCCATAGCATCGAAATTACTTATTTCTAAAAAGACATTTATTTAACATGCTTGGATAAGTTTCTAACTATTTGTGGCCTTATTTATCCATTCCCAATGGACAGAGGTTAGTGTGACCCCCCTTCCTCCATAACCTCCAAAAATTTTTTTATTTTTATTGCGAATAGTTTTTTTTATAAAACGGAAATAAAAAATATGTACGATATCAAAATGAAATATATTTAAGAAAAACAAATAAGAATTAATTCTAATTGATCACATGGTTTAAATTAAAAATTATATGAACTAAAATATTGAATAACAAGTGGGGGCGGGGAGCTATAAAGAAATATTGTAAATATTTTCTGGCATAGTGGAGCTAGTTTTGTTAAACGGCTCAATTTGCCTATTTTTAAAAAGGGCTAACTCAATATTATAGCCAAGAAAATATTGCCTAAGCGTCGAGATTTTGCCAATAGATGTTCAATACTATGTGCCATCTATGAGCTCTAGGTTTGCATAATATATTTCTGGATAAAATATTGAGTTAGCCGTTATTCACTTAACAACACTTAATAGAGCCGAGGATGGAGAATAAATATGATCTGCATATCTCGAAAGATATTTTTTGAAAAACAATTATAAATTTAATAATATAATTTATATTGCTAAACAAATTAGATAGTTTTAAAAATTTTAATTAATTTTTTATAATTTTTAATTAAAAGAAAAATCGTTTAATTTGGTAAAAATAAACAGCAAACTTTTATTTTCTTTTGCCGGTGGAGTCTGAATTGTTGATTAAACTTGAAACGCGAGAGGATATTAAAAAAATCTCAGAATTTACTCTGATGATTTATAGGGATTACTTTGTGATGTCGAATTTTTTATATAAAAATCTTGACAGAACATAGAAATAATGCTTTGTAGGCTTTTCCATGTGTAATTGCACTTTAGATTCCCTGCCTAATATCAAAACATTGTTCTTTTATTTATCTTATCCATTGGTACATGCACTAATGAAAGTTCTTTTTCAACTTCGGTTAAAAACTTACTTAAGAAATAGCATCGGTGAAAACCGTTTAAATGGATTAGCCCTATTAAATATTTATAAGGAGATTATTCATCTCGGAGAAAAGTAGATCTCTCTTTATAAATTCAAATCATAAAACTTCAATATGATCATAATATGTTCTTAGTCTTAAAATTTTTATATGCAAAACTTAATTATAATAAATTCTTAGTTATAATATTTATATATTTTTTATCTAAGCCCGGCCCGGCCCTATACCCGGCCCGGCCTAAATTTTTTAAATAAACCCGGGCCGGGCCGGGCCTAAAAAAAATTTTTTTAAATATATCCGGGCCGGGCTTAATATTTTTTATAAAAATTTTAACATTATGAGTTAATGGTTATAAGATTATATTATATTATAGTTATGATTAATATAATATTGGGTAATGGTTAACACACCTAACACCTACAGATCGATCTAATTATTAATTTCCTGCAAATTTATTCAAAGTATTAATATATTTTTTTATAATTCATATCTAAATTTTTACAACATATTTTACCAAAACAATCAAATAAAGGAATATCTTAAATAAGCCCCAATATTCAAGTATTAATAATATATTTTTTATAATTCATATCTAAATTTTTAGAATATTTACCAAAACAATCAAATAAAGGAATATCATGGCACAAAATACTAATGATATAATTAATAAAATTAAATATAATATTTATTCTTTTATAAATACAAATAATAATTTAAAATCTGAAATATGGGCTAAATTTAACTTCATCAAAGATGAAAATAAAAAAAAC